GGGGGGGGAGGGGGGGAGGGGGGTTACCATAAGTAATTTGCTCAGCAGAATCAAAATGGAATGACGTAGAAGCCCCAGCAACTTTTTCCATTTTATTTGTTTATATCAGCTACAGATATTTGAGCTGTTTTATATTAATTTGGCTTTTGGGACTTTGGAACCGCTTCCTATTCTGTGTTAATACAGCGGGTGAAATCCATTATTCTTATCCCCGACCTTGTTTGGGGTGCATGCTATCTACGTGAAGTGAATGAGTCGTTAATATTTTTTAATAGTTAAAATAATTGATTCATATTAAATGTGTAATGTGGTGTGGTCTTTTCTAACCATAAAAGTTAGGGAGAAAAAGCACCATAATAGCCTTTTAGAAAGGTTTATACCCTTATCCAAAAATCGAGATTACAGTAGAACAATTATTTTGTTCCTTAATGAGTGCCTTCATTGGAGTATAAAATCATTTTGTAGATGCTTGTAAGCAAATGTCAATGCTGACACGTTAACGGTCTTTGCTTTTGGTATAAAAGACATGCATCGTTTTATTTGGCACTAAATACGTTAGATATACATGTAACCATAAGTGTTGTGCTCACCAGATGGAATTATGTAGAATCCCGAGCATCTTTTCCCTTTTATTTATTTAATGCGTTGTGAAGAAAATGTGTATTAAGTGATTTTAGTCACTTGAAAATGATTGTTCTCTTTTATGTCTAGATAAAGATGGGTACATCTGTGCGACCATATCAGATAAGTCATATTATTATTATTGCTTCAAACACGAGTAAATCTTGCGATTGCATCCCAATGCCAATAAACAAGAGATAAAGAACCCTTATCACGAGGCAACAAGTCACTAAAAGGGACGCTTAAATGGTACCTACCCTGCGAATTATCAAGTCCGCATTACTGATTTAAAATGGCAGAAATTAGAGTCAAAGATGCTGGAGGCCATGGATATAACGTGATAGAGTGGCAAGGGATGTATTACCCCCTTTTCCCTGGAATAGCCCCACGTTTGGAAGCCTTGGGCACGTTTGAATGTAGAAAGGATGACATTTTACTATGGACGTACCCTAAATCAGGTAAGTATTACGGCCTAAAGGGCTGATGCATATGAAATTTGTAATGATGATGAATAATATGTATTTGTATGGTGTTTATGGCACAGGCCAGATTGAAATCAATGGAAAATCAAATTTGCCTAGGCGAAAGTGAAATCAAAGACAAAGTCAATTCTGAACAATAAACTTAATCGAATATGACTTTTCATTAAAGCTGTCCAACACTGTTTCTAGGTACACGGTGGGCATATTCAATAGTAAGCATGATCAAAAACAACAGCACTGATGACAATAGCATGGACTCGATATACCTTGAAAAACTCGACCAAGAGGTCTTTGCCAAAATGGCGTCTCCCAGGATCTTGGCAAGTCATCTGCCCAGGCACCTCCTGCCGCCAGATGTGTGGAGAAAGCAGATCAAGGTCGTCCTAGTTACAAGGAATCCCAAAGACCTGGCTGTGTCATTCTATAACTTCATGAAAGGCAAAAAAAATTTTGAATACACTGGCCCATGGGAATCGTACTTTCCAATTTTCACACAAGGGAAAGGTAAGATGTGGAGTGAAATCGGTTAGGAAAGGGCGCGCTTTGTGATCAGAAAACACATAACACATACGACTTCAGATTGCACTTTGTAATTTTTTCTAAATGCCCAGTGAACCTTGGCGTATTTAATTTTGAATGTCAATGAATTAAAAAACTATGCTCTTCAATTATACATTCTGTTACCTGAATGCTTCTCGGCAGTGTTTTGTGTGGTTAGACATTTTGAAGTCAATTTAAAATGAGCGAGAAAATAAAAATAAAATATTTGGTCGTCATGTTTGCAATTTTCATAACTATGGATATATGTTAAGTTAAAGAAGTGCATTTAATTCATTTTTAGTCCCTTACGGCTCCTGGTTTGACCATACCAAAGAGATGTGCAAGGGAGTGGACAGCATTCCCAACTGCTTATTTTTGACTTACGAAGAAATGCTTAAGGTATGCAGATGGCTATGTATTCAGGTCTATGTGTGCTTAACACTTAATCGACAAATAATTCCTTTTATTCTCAAGTGATATCTAATATATCTCGATGCACAATTAAAAAGTTATGAAAGCTTGCACCAGGGTCTTGGAACAGTATTTATCAGTAATATTAATGTAGTGGTATGATTCTTCGGATTGCCGTCACAAAATACCACGCTGTTCTGCAGATTTTAGAAATACTATTACAAATTATTTACAAATTCTTATATAGATACAGTCTCAGTAAATAACAAGTTATTGAAAATATTCGGATGATGGCTGCTTGCTTAATGGCACTATTTTACAGGATTTACCAGCCGCTGTGAAAAAAATCAATTCCTTTCTTGGATTTGAACGATCAGACGCATTTTTGGAGGAAGTAGCGCAGAAATGTACATTTTCTTCGATGAAAAGATCCGAAGAAACTAGAGAACCGAATAAATATATGAGAGAAGGCCACAGGTTTTTTAGAAAAGGTTTGTGAATGCTCTTTTTGATTATCTGTGCATCTACTTGTCTGTTTATGGCTTTTCTTCTAGTTCTAAGTCCCCTGTTACCATTAAGATGGAGTTCCTTTTGGCGCCAAGAGGAACACTTATCTGAATGGAAGGGAATAAACACTTAAAATATTATTAAATAATTCAGGAGTGATATCCTTTATATGTCGAAAGAAATAATATAGCAGCGACGCATTTCTTGTAATTCAGGTCAAGTTGCCGACTGGAAGAACTGGTTTACAGTGGCCCAGAATGAAGAGTTTGATGAGCTTTACCATGCCAAGATGGCGGATGCACCTCCTGACCTCAAATCTAGAGTAGTTTTCGAATGATCTTGAAAAAAAGATATCATAAAAACAAACACTTTAATTCATAAAGTGCACTAAAAGAAAACCGAGATAGTTTAACAGGCGGAGAATGTAATAATGCACCAAACTTCGAATATAAATTTATCAAAAACTGACAACCATATTTCAACAAAATGCCAAATGTGACTACAACATAAATTTTCCTTTTGTATGATATTGCCTTTTCATAAATAACTTGTATATTAATGCTATAAGGTATATGTGGCGTTGAATTCGAAATATAGGCCTTTATGAGAAACATGACATTGCCGACTTAGGTCGCCTTTTACCCCAGCAACTTTCTTCTTTTCTTTCTTTCTTTCTTTCTTTCTTTCTTTCTTTCTTTACTCTTTCTTTCTTTATTGCAATGTGAAGAAAATGTGAATTAATGAATTTCTGTCGCTTTGTAAATGATGAATCACTTCGATGTCTAGATAAAAATGAAAAGGATCAATTCCGATAAGTTGCATTGATATAGATTTTAACGCTAGTAAATCACGCGGAGACACCTTAATACCAATAAACAACAGATTAAGAACCCTTATCGGGTCAGTAAAGGGGACACTCAAAATGGCGGAAATTCGAGTCAAAGATGCAGGAGGCCATGAATATAACGTGATAGAGTGGCAAGGGATGTATTTCCCCCTTTTCCCTGGAATAGTACCTCGTCTTGAAGCCTTGAGTACGTTTGAATGTAGAAAGGATGATATTTTACTATTGACGTACCCTAAATCAGGTAAGTATTAAGGCCAAAGGGCTGATGCATCTGATATCTATAATAATGATGAATAATGTACTTGTATGATGTTTATGTCGCAGGCCAGATTGAAATCCATGCAGATTCTAAATTCGCCTAGGGCAAGGTGAAATCAAGCCACAATCAATTTTGAATAATAAACATATGGCTTTTCGTTAAAGCTATCAAACACTGTTTCTAGGTACGCGATGGATATATTCAATAGTAAGCATGGTCAAAAACAACAGCACTAATGACCCTAGCATGGACTCGATATACTTTGAAGCGCTTGACCAAGAGGGCTTTGCCAAAATGGCGTCTCCCAGGATCTTGGCGAGTCATCTGCCTAGGCACCTTCTGCCGCCAGATGTGTGGAGAAAGCAGATCAAGGTCATCCTAGTTGCCAGGAATCCCAAAGACGTGGCTGTGTCATTCTATAACTTCATGAAAGGCATTAAGAATTTTGAATACAGTGGCCCTTGGGAGTCGTACTTTCCAATTTTCACACAGGGAAAGGGTAAGATATAAATTGAAATCAGTCAGGAATACGCGAGCATTGTGATCAGAAAACATTTAAACAACTTCATATCGCACTTTGCAACTTTTTTTGCCCTAGTGAAGCTTGCCGTAATTCATCTTCGATATCAATTAATTTTTAAAAAAACTGTGCGCTTAATAATATTAATAATAACAAATAATTTATTCCCACGTCTAAAGGCTTTTCGGTAGTGTTTTGCAGAGTACGACATTCTGAAGACATTTGAAAATTTTCGAAAAATATATTTTACGAAATAAATAAATAAAATATTCGACCTCAACTTTTTTCAATTCCCATTACTTTGGATATATGTGCATTTCACTTATTTTAGTCCCTTACGGCTCCTGGTTTGACCATACCAAAGAGATGTGCAAGGGAGTGGACAGTAATTCCAATTGCTTATTTCTTACTTACGAAGAAATGCTTAAGGTATGCAGACGGTTGAGTATTTAGGTCAACACTTAATCGACTATTAATTCCTTCTATTCCCGATTATGCAGACAATTGCGTATTTAGGTCATCACCTTATCGACTATTAATTCCCTCTATTCCCGATTAAATCTGTTATAAGTGACACGGTGTACAATTAAAAATATTTTTTTAATTTGCAAGAAGGTATGGGAACAGCATTTTTCAATTACATTATTGTAGTGGTAATTAAGGATTCTGCGGATTGCCGTCACAAGCTAACACTGTTCTGCACAGTAGAAATATACATGTACTATAACGAATAATTTACAAAATAAATATATAAAAATGCAGTCATTTGAAATATTCATACAAGGTTGGCTTTGCTTCATCGCAATATTTTATCACAGGATTTACCAGCCGCTGTGAAAAAAATAAATTCCTTTCTTGGATTTGAAAGATCAGACGTATTTTTGGAGGAAGTAGCGCAGAAATGCACATTTTCTTCGATGAAAAGATCTGAAGAAACTGGAGAACCGAATAAACATCTGAAGGATGGTCACAGATTTTTTAGAAAAGGTTTGTAAATATTTTTTTGATTACATATCTTTCAAATTACATGTAAATTGTCGGTTTCTTCTCCCCATTTATTTTATCATCTTCCAATTCCAAGTTGTTTGTTACCATTTATATGAAAGACCCTTTCGCAGTGAGCAATACACATAACTGGACCAGTCTACGGGGCAGGTCCTTCCGGGAGGGGGGTCTTGCTCCCTCTCATTCGTCTTCAACATGTTTGCTTCCTGCTGTTTTATTAATAAATTCATTGGCGAAGCGGGAGCTCTATTTAGGTTACCATCTTTAAAGGGATAACTCTTAATATGAGATTCAAAATTCCACAATAAATAAACTTTAAACAAAATATACAACTTGGACCTTCACAGATGGCTTCCATCCGTAATAATTTCTTAAAAGATTATTACAAAAACACATTAAAAAAATCGACCAGCTTTGAATGTCGGAACAGATTCAGTAACTATTGGAAAGTGTAACAAAATTGTCGTTTACTCCAGGAAAATTCACTTTATGGCACTTTTTTTCGCCAAAACGAGGAGTTGTCATCAATTCTCAGTCTCAGTGGATCTACCCAGATACCGCTCTTTGTGAAAGGGGTCCAGTCTAACCTCATATCACAGTGTTTGTTAATATGTTGTACGAGCTATTTTAACAGAGGTAAATTAACACCTCAAGTATAATAGAACATCACACTCAGAAGTGACATCCTTTATTTGTTGAAAGAGATACTAAAGCAGCGAATGATTTTTTGTAATTCAGGTCAAGTTGCCGACTGGAAGAACTGGTTCACAGTGGCCCAGAATGAAGAGTTTGATGAGCTCTACAATGCCAAGATGTCGGATGCACCCCCTGACCTCAAATCTAGAGTAGTTTTCGAATGATCTTGAAAAAAAGATATCATAAAACAAAGACTTTAATTCATTAGGTGTTCTAAAAAAAAAAACAGGATAGTTTCGCTGGCGGGGAATGAAATTATGCATCAATTTTTTTAACATAATTTTTAATTTTTAACATTAACTTATCAAAAGCTGACCCTACATTTTTGACAAGATGCCAAAAGGACTACAACATAAAATTTGCCTTTTGATGTTCTGCATAAAAAATTAATATAGTGCTAGGTTTTGTGCTAGCTTCGGAATAGGGTAATAACAAAACCAGGAATTCATGGAATCGAACAAACCAACTTTGGTAAAAAAAAAAAAAGAATTAAAATAAGTCGAATAAAAGTAACAAACCGAGTCAGTAACTCAGTAAACCTGACGAATTTGATGGTAACAAACCACATACGTCGTCAGGCTGGAATAAAGAACACCATAACTGAGAGGGGAAAATAACGGTTTGTGAATTTGTTTCATAGGTGGGTCCTGGAATACACCATTTTGTAACTTCGGCTTAACTTGGGGACTGTATTAACTGTGTCCATGATTGCATAAATTAAAATGCCTTATAAAGCTTAAGTCAGAACGCCTAATGCGACAAATGCTACGGAAAATGATAAAAATACAGTAAGACTGCATTCCCACAGATTTTAGATCGACCTATCCCCGTGGGGAGTCTCACTAGATTACTGTCAGCTTAGAAGGCTTAAAAGTCTGTCCCGCCTACTAAAAGCTGTAAGGGGGTAATTAACTTCCGTGCGCGCTCGGCTGACAGCAATTTAGCATGAACCCCCAGGGAGTTAGGTCGATCCAGATGGATCGATCTAAATCTGTGGGAATGCAGTTTAAGACTCCAAAACCTTCACCTTGCGCAAACATTGAAATTGCAAATAAAAGGATTACTGAATCGTATGTCCTTAAGTATTTTTAATACTGCTCCTTTCACAACACAGCAGAATATCGATATAATAAATATATGAATTAAAATTAAAGTTGTAAAATTGAATACAGATGGTGATATACGCCAGAGCGTGCGACTGAATCTGCCTTTATACGTGCCCGTTTTGTCGTGTATATTCAAGAAATAGGCCCTATAAATAGCAAGGTAATGTACTTGTAAGAATTAATTCATCGGCAGACATGACAACTGTGTGTGTTGAAGACGCTAATGGAGATGCCATGACTTTGGTGGAATGGAGAGGAGTATATTTCCCGCGTTTCCCGGTATTGGCCCCCGACTAAACGCCACTGGGACACTGGAGTTCAGACCTGACGACGTTCTGCTGTTCACATATCCTAAATGCGGTAATGTTGCTCGATACGGAGCCTGTGTGTGTGTGTGTGTGTGTGTGTGTGTGTGTGTGTGTGATTGTGTGTGTGTTGTGGAGGGGGTGGATGGTCGGGAGGGGGAGAATGAAGAGGTGGAGCGGGGATTTTAACGTGTTCGACACGCGTACACTATGTGAGATGTATATGGGACCATGTAGGTACTACATCATGATCACTACTGTTATATTTAGTATTTTTTACATAATATACAACACCAACATAAACATCTGCGATTAAGTATACCGTCCTAGCGGAAAAGCCTAATGTTCAGTGTCATATTTCCCAAATCTATATTTCGTTGAAATTTGGACTTTAAAATTTTAGTATCAGTATTTGCAAACATCCAAAACATTGATACCGACCATATTTGTGCATAATTCTCACTTATACAGCGACCTCTTTAAAAACAGCACTTTTTCTTACTTTGATTAATAGGAACACAATGGTGAAATGGGATATGCCAAATGCCGACACTAAATGTAAGTGAGCATTATGACGAAGTCAAAATTCTTGAAACATTTGATAAAACGTCATTAAAGACATGCCGTCACCAAGAATCTTGATTACACACATGCCGAAGAGATTTGTGCCACTGGATGCATGGAAGAAGAACATCAAGGTTATCATTGTCAGCAGAAACCCGAAAGATGTGGCCGCGTCCTTCTGTGCCTTTACAAACGAAAATCCTAACTGCTTGTTTCTGACGTACGAGGACATGAAAAAAAGTAAGTTTACATCTGGGGCATCAAATGTAGGATTTTTAACAATCAATATCGATATGACAGTAATAAGTTACATTTTAACCTGTATATGATAGATTTACTGAAATCTTGTGAACAGAGCTATTAAGATAAATGTTTTCTTTTAACGAATGGTTTTTGATTTCTTGTACTTGCCCTAATATGTCCATACATAAAGCAAGTTCAATGATTTTTTTCTACAAAGTTGTTTTACGCATACGTACATGTAACAATGAATGGTTTGCTCACAAGAATCGAAACGAAAGGATGTAGAAAGCCCATTATTTATTAAATATATTGCGGTGTGATGTGTATAAATGGATTATAGTCACTTTAAAAATGATGATTCTATTTGGTGTCTAAATAGAGATGGGTAGGACCATTTCATGTAAATACTATTATTCCTATTGATTTTAACGCTAGTAAAGCACGCAGTGACACCTCAACACCAGTAAACAACAGGTAACTTGGCCAAAAAAGGGGACGCTCTAACGTTATTTACCCTGCACCACCGCTTTAAAATGGCGGAAATTCGAGTCAAAGATGCTGGAGGTCATGAATATAACGTGATAGAGTGGCAAGGGATGTATTTCCCCCTCTTCCCTGGAATAGTCCCTCGTTTGGAAACCTTGGGTACGTTTGAATGCAGAACGGATGACATTTTGCTTTTGACGTACCCTAAATCAGGTAAGTATTATGGCCAAAAGGGCTGATGCATCTGAAATGTATAATAATGATAAACAGTAGGGCCTACATAATTGTACGATTTTTACGCCGAAGGGCAGACTGAAATCCATGCAGATTTAAAATTAGCCTAGGCAAGGCGAAATCAAAATCACAGTCGATTTTAAATAATAAATAGCCTATATGGGTTTTCGTTAAAGGTGTCACTGTTTCTAGGTACACGATGGATATATTATATAGTAAGCATGGTCAAAAACAACAGCACTGATGACCCAAGCATGCACTCGATGTACCTTGAAATGCTCGACCAAGAGGATTTTGCCAAAATGACGTCTCCCAGGATCTTGTCAAGTCATCTGCCCAGGCACCTCCTGCCACCAGATGTGTGGAGAAAGCAGATCAAGGTCATCCTAGTTACCAGGAATCCTAAAGATGTGGCTGTGTCATTTTATAATTTTCTGAAAGGCATAAAGAAATTTGAATACACTGGCCCATGGGAGTCGTTCTTTCCAATTTTCAAGCAAGGGAAGGGTAAGATATAAATAAGTATAACACACTTGGCTAGTGTGAATTCTACAGTCGTCATTTTGGTAATAACACCCGTACGTTGGACTGCGACACTGTTCATACTAAACATGCCTCAGTATTGTTGTGTACCTGATTGTCAGAGTCGTCAAGGTGGGCATAATTTTTCTAAGGATTCAGGGCTTCGTTTGAAATGGAGGAGGGCATTAATCGCGTCTGCACATAGATAAAACGCCAATCCAGGTCGGTACAGTGTCGTGTGTGTGAAGCACTCCACCCCTCTGAATATAAAAAGACATTAACTGGTAAGAATATGCTGTTTATTATCTAACATAATCTTCACCAATAAGATATTTAAATGTACTTGTAGGGAGAAACTAAGGGGCCCAAGAAATTGTACGCATTTATTGTCTTTGAAAGGGTCAATGCTCACCTGCAGTTCCACGGGGTCATGTCGATACTCCCCCGCACCGATACTCCCCCTCAGTATATCTGTAATTGTGGGGGAGTATCGGTGCGGGGACGCATAGGCATGTAACCCAGTCCACGAACCCATCATCTGCACTTCCATTATAATGTAATGTAATGTAATGTATATCCATGCTTGACTGTCACATTGATTGATTAGGTTTAATCCACGATTGGCTTCCCTTTATTGGATTGTGGCTACCTAACTAAAGACAAGTAGGCCTGGGCCTAACTAGTAAAACAGGATCAATACATATTTTCTTGATGCTGAAAGTGAATGATAAAATATTGCATGCCTTGCAAGAAAACTTTAAAGTTTTGATTTATATTGCAGGTAACTATTGATGTTTGAAATCAACAGCAATTGTGACAGACAGATCATTGAACCCCGTTCATCCTGTGGAACCGCTGCTGACAGCACAATGACTGACAGCGGGATATAATGGTTCAAGATTTGTTTGCTGGAAGGGGGCATTAGTGCGCTGGATTTGGTCTTAAAGTGCAATTTAATATCACAAATGATCTTAAAAGATCTTAATCATTACAGCAGTAGTCTTAAAATGGACTGAATCTGCTTTTAAGATCAAAAATAATCTAACATCTACTTGAGTGGTTAAGCAGTTTCCTCCCCTCACAATAGAGGACACCTCTGCTCACAATAGGAGAATGTGTAAGGGGAGGCAACTTAATTGGCTGTCAGTCCAGAATTGGTCTTACTCATGGTTTAAGATCATGTTAGACTATTTGTGATCTTAAATTGCACTTTAAGACCAAATCAAGCCCACTAGTGGATGTCCATAATCACACCTTCTATGTTAAAGGGCAAGTCACAACTTGACCCAGGCACATTAATTAGAGATGGACAGGTTGAATTAAAAATAATGTAGAAAGGTTAATTGGTCTTGGCAAAACGTATAAGGTCTTGGTAAAACGTATGAGTGCCCCTAGGAGTGTTTTCTCATGTCCATTTTCAGAAGAGCTATTGTCAGTAAATATTCATAAGCACTCCACGTACCTGCATAAGGTTATATTATAAAGTGATATTCTTTTTTTATTGATGTAATGAGCATGACAGGCAATGTTACGTAAAGCATTGTTATTCAGTCTACTGTAAGAATCATGAAAGGATGTATAAGTTAAATAATTTATTTGTGCACCAACTTTCCTGAATGTGTAGCTGCAATTTCTCGGCCAATGAAATACTGCAGATATGGAAAACTTTCTATAAAAGTTTCAGAAATAAAATTCAATAAACGTAAAAAACATTTTACAAATTTACACAGTTTTTTGTTCTTTTTACAAAATAGCACTACTGAATTATAGTACTGCCACCGCGGCGCCGGCGGTGCACGTGGTTTTAGTCCAGAGCTGTATCGTTCACCGGGTGCTCCCCACGTCACCGTTACCGCTTCTCCTCCTAAACTACAAGAGCCCCAGTATCCATCTCCTGTGTGAAGGTCACATATAATCTCAACTCGATTCNATTAGATGGGGTCGCATATATCTATCATATATTGTATTTCATTGTATACTACAATAGTAAGAGATCCTGTAAAAATAAAATAAATTTTGTGCTTAATAAATTATCATTTCTATTATAAAAAAAGCAAGCCAGAGATGCTCTGAACTTCAACTGTTGTTAAGGGACGGTGCGATAACATTAACAGACAGCTTTCGTCTCCAGCCTGGTGTCTGCCTTCTGGGGTATTTTCTAAAATTGAATGCAGTTGTCAATCATCCTCACAGATAATCTTACTTGTTCAAAATACTACTGCATTTTGAAGTTAATGACCTACTTTTGTGTCTAATTAGAAAACATGCTTTTACACAGGATTACCCCTCCACAGAGAAGAAAACTCCCAAAGAGCACGCATAACAAACCAGAGACAACAGAAAAAGCAACAAATAGACTTGTATTTGTTTTCTTTACGTCAATGCTTGTGGTAGTGTTAGTTGTCAGATCCGGATTATTGGTGGTGGCGGTGGCGGTGGTGGTGGTGGTGGTGATGGTGGTATCAGTGGTGCTGATGATCTGCGGTACGTAATTAGAACCCATGTGAACTTTCATCTGTCCATCGTTCTCGGAGTCAACGACTTTGAAATAATACCCAAACGACATCACGTCGACGCCATTTTGATTAACCGTCGTGACATAATTATCTCGCGGTTTATCCCGTCGTTTCCTTTTCCCCCACCCTGGCTTATTGCCTGGACACTGCGATTCCACACATTCTGGGTTCATGTTTCCTTCCATACAGGCTGCCACCGAGCAGAAAAACCCCATGGTTCCGTTCGCTGGATTCCGTGGCGTGATACGAAACATAGGAAATGTTGAAATGGCCACATATTGGGACGACCCTCGGCTAAATCCGTTAAAGAAAGGGACGACTGGACACCCGCCAGAGAGTAGTTCTAGAGTTTTCCATTCATTGGTATCTGTGATGCCATTAGCCCAACATCGCTCAACCTTAATTTTCATCTCGCGTTCGCCAATTTTCCCCAAGATTAACTGCATGGTGATATTTTCACCCAGAACCACCGGGGGACCGTTTGGTAATATGCTACTGTTGTCTTTAGATCGAAACAGCCTCATGATAGCAAACGAACCAACTCCTTCATATTTCACAGGTTGGTCAAATTCAAGAAGCACAATGACTTCCGCCATTATGTTAGTTATGTTATGTATTGTGGTGTCGTACGGTTGACGTTTGCAAGTGAAGGGTTGGGCTTCATCTATGGTTTCTAGGTAGTAATCCTTATCATGTTGCAATATGACTGTGAATTCTTGGTCTTGCACGACGCCGCATTGCCCATATGGGACCGTAAGGACCCATGGAGGCTGCTGCACGTAACATCCAGCCTGGCTGTAGTGTTTGTCCACGTAGACAATACCTTCGTTGTTGGGCGGAGAGAACGTGTCCGAGCTCTCCGCGTACTGAATGGTCACTTCGGTATCGCCACAAACGATACTAGTGGCTATTTTTCCAGTTTTTCCACTTGCGTCTAGAAGTACACAAATGTTATGAAACAATCGACAACTGAGAACTGTTAACATAAAAGATCTTCAAAATCGTCATGAAACCTTAACGCGAGATAAATTAAAGACGAACACAGTGAGTACTTAAACGTTGAGTGCATATTAATCTATATCACGTTACACGACTAACCGTTTATCATTGCATTGAAACGGTTGTCACAGCAAGCAACCCATTCTTTAAACGAATCGAACAACTTATTTCAAGGAAAATCACACCATTTTACTACGTTCTTATTCTGTTAACTTTTTTATTCTTCATACAGTCTTTCATTGGAAAATCTTACCTGTGTGATTGGTGCAGGTAGTGCCGTTAAAGTATTGGCCTAACGGGCAAATGCAGCTGTATAAGTGCACATTTGGGTAACAGGTGCCTTCATTGCAGGGATTACCAGCACATACATCTGAAACAAAGGGAATCATTTGCGCCTTCAATGTGTTTAATCACCGTGTTAAAGGTACATACGAACCGAGCATCGGTGGAGTGTGGATTCCCAGTAACACATGTAAACCACTTCTACTAGATTCTTGTATGACTCAAATAAATTCGACATGCCAAGGAATAAACTGAATAGATCACTCGATCAGCCACAAAAGACCTTTAGACTGCTCCTTTCTTTAAATTTATGGTTGTAAATTTAACCTACTTCCGTGACCTACTTTCCTGCCCCATTGACATACAGCTTAGAATGCCAGCAGAAAAATCTGTTCAAACATCATTTTCGGGTAAAATCAAACAATGCCTTTTGGTAATTCTCTTAGTTATACTATTTGAAACTATATGCTGGCATTTGGTTGGTTTTTGTGACAAAAAATTGACTTTGTATGCATCTTTAAGGTAATCAAGGACGATTGTGTTTCGTTTTGCATGGTGGCCAAAGAGTTTTAAGTATCCTATGTGAAGCATTTAGTATAATACGGGCCCAGTTAGCTATTAAATTTTCTCCTTTGCGAATACCCCATGTAATGTGTTCTTTCGAGCTTTTGAGTGTTTTTCTTAAGTCCACATCGTTCTTTGATATAGTGATGCTAAGTAAAACGATGAGTATTTTTACTGTATTCAGTTTCGTAAAAGTTCATAAACATTCCCATATATGAGTCAAAACTATAAATTACTAAAAATTCAATTTAACACCTGGAGTTAGTGAAAGCAAGACATCCACTGTGTTTGCAGCAATGCATGTGTCACTGATTTATATATATATATATTTATTTAATGACGTTTAGATTTGTTAAAATATCATTATTTAGTGCACTGCAAAGAAGAACACACGGGGAGTAGGCCTACAACAGCACAAAGGCTAATGATTTTATCTTATATAAAATATCTGAATGAAAAGGCTATCAATAATGCAAGTTATTAACATAACACCATCACAAAAAAAAACTTACTTGTGCAAGTAAAGCCATCTCCAGTGAAGTTATGCTGACACCGGCAGGTATATGACCCAATCGTATTGAAGCATTCGGCGTGGTCGCCACACGTGTATAGTTCCAGAGCGCACTCGTCACGGTCCGTGCAGTTTGTGGCTCCGTCTCCGTCGAAACCCGAGGCACAAGTACAGAAGTAAGAGCCGTATGTGTTCGTACACTGCGCATACTGATGACAGGAGTGTTGGCCCTCTTCGCACTCGTCTAAGTCAACACAGTAAAGGCCGTTGCCAGAGAAACCAGCGCTACATTCACAGTCATAAGACCCGACTGAGTTGGTACAGGTGGCGTTTTCACTGCAGTACCCGGGAACGGCTGCACATTCATCTATATCGTCACAAAATAGGCGACCATAACCGGTGAAGCCCTCATTGCATGTGCAAAAGAAAGAACCCGGAGTATTGGTGCACGTGGCATTTCCGTCACATACAGTGGGATTGGCCTGGCACTCATCATCGTCTGAAACACAGATTATTTCACTTTTAACGTATATTTTCAGTAAACGAATGACTTGGGATGATAATGCAGCGAGGCCTCCTCGGTATTTTTTTCACAAAAATATATATGTATTTATTCACACGCTGGACACATAAATACGGCACACCTGCAAGGAAAATGCGAAAAACGGTAACAATGCCGCATATACAAAGAGTATGTTGGATCGCCTTAAACTGCCCTATAAAGGTTAAATAAAGAAAGGTTGATATGAATTTGAAATAAATCATCAGTCGAAAGTTCTGAAAAAAGTATATGAAAAACCGCCCATGTTTTTGACACTTGTACAATATCCGGGGTATCACTTGTATAATAAGAACACACAGGCGTGTTGATTGTAGAAGAACTTTACTCGACCATGGCACAATGGGTGTTCAAAGCCGAAATTGTCATCTTTTTTATTGTAAATGTCACAAGCAGAAAAGTATAGTCTATCTTACCTTCACAAGAACCCCCTGTCGCAGGAGCGGAGTAACCTACTGGGCATGCGCAGGAATAGGTGTCATTGATAGATGAAGCACACACTCCTACTCCACATGGAATGTACGTGCAGTTAGTGTGTTCTGAAAATGCCAAGATGTGATTTGAAAATTTAAATGGTAGAAATTGTAATTCGTTTACTAAAATGAAACTAAACGACGGCGGATGAAAAGTGGAAGAGTATTTCAATTAAAAAATAAAACTGCATGCAACGACAGGCTTCATAAGCGATAATTGCCGTTCGCTGTGACAAGCATTAGAAGAAGGAGAACAAATGCCCAAATTAACTACTCGAGCCAAGAAAAGAGTACCCAAACATAAAATTAGTCACAGCGTCGTACCACACGAACAATTCGACCGGCTTCCATTTGGGTGTCTGGCTGTATAGATACCAGTTTTTTTTCAACCCTAGACTAGTATTTTGAATGAGGTGGAAGATCCCGAAAACGGCACGTTAGAGCTTTCATAAATTCCTAGTCGTATAAGAGTGATATTTTTCCCCTTCGTACTCGTGGCTACTGATTTTATGTTGGGAATCGTAATTCGTGGCTCGTGTCGTTAATTTGGGCATTTGAGCTCACAAATTTGAGGCTCGAGTTTTCAAACACCGAAATCGTTTATAAGGCCTAAAATACAAACCAACTATTAATATCTGGAGTGCATTGTCAATTATGATGTAGACGATCAAAGTAAATGATATATTTTCAGTTTTTAGAGCCTTCTTTATTTTTCGTTTATTTTGCCAACATGAAAGTTGCGTGAGTCAATTTATGTGAAAATCGTCCTCTTACAATAACAATACCGTACCTACACATGTCGTTCCGTTAAAGTAATAGCCACTGGGACAAGTACAGTTGTAGGAGGGACCGCCTTCAGTGGTGCAGGTCCCAACCCCGCAGGGACTGGTGGCAATACAAACATCTATATCTGGATACAAAAATAGCAGTGAAAGATGAAATGACATTTACAAAAAATTGTACTGGATTCTTGCTCAAATACTTACAAAATGTGCAAGAAGAATAGATTACAATAAATGCGTCGCGTAACCTAGCTTTTCTGGCTCATCAGTAGTGTTACAGCCGAAGTCACATGACAGAAACATTTATTAGAAAAGTTCACAGGTGATTTAAGTCTTTACAATTGATTCAATAAGAATGCGTGATTTTTATATACTTGCGGGTACTTACAGGTGTGTGTGTGTGTGTGTGTGTGTGTGTGTACGTGTGTTTTATGTGCGTGCGCGGCTGTATGGCGTGCAAAGGTTACCTTCATAAGTTGTAAGACTGAATCCTTTTGCACCCCCGGCCCAACCACGAAACAGAACCAACGCTGGCTCCCCTACAGAACCCGTCGTCAACTTTAATGTGTCATACTCCATACCACAGAATCTAAAACGAAGCCAGGTGTAAGACAAAAGAAATTGAGGACATACACAAAGAAAGATCGACAGAAAGCACTTATTTTATATATCTGTTTTATACATTTATATATAAAATTAATACATTTATCCAGCAACACTTACTGGGAAGAACAGGGAAAGATTTCGCGATAGACGGTAATAACAACAAATTAGGATTTAAATTGTTTTTACATTACCTCTTGCAAGTGCGGACATTCAATTCCCCGCTAATAAAAATACAGTTCTGCTTTTGAACATCTCCGCCCCATACTATTGCGATTTGTGTTAAGAGTTTTGTGTCATATATCTGACAATTCATGTTACCTCATGTTTCAGTTTTCCAGCATTAAGTGTGGTACTTACCTGGACCCGGTAAAGGCGATTCCTTGGTACCTTATCTCCAGGTAGTCTCTACAGGCATAGTAAGTCCACAACTGGAACCCATACTCAGGACCAATGCTGACCACCACCTTCCCGCCGACAGTACTCTGGACATAAAAATGTCTTCGAATAATTCGTTTCGGGTGGAATTTACGTGTGAAGAATTATTTTCTTTTTATTCATTTTATCAATGTAAGATTCTGATTTACCGTAAGAGGGGCTCCAAACGCCTCAAATTCATCCTTACTTAATTGAGGTAATTAACGTTTCATCTCCAAAAATAATCGTTTTTGCTTGATTTTAATTTTGTCTCTTCTAAACAGCGATTGTTCGTGTTTGCTGGCTTGTTTGCTTGCATGCTTGTAACTCACTGGTCTCAAAAGCCATTGACATTTGGTTCCACCCTCATAGATATTGGGATAGTTCGGAGACGTTATAATAATCGGGGTTGTTGTCACTGAAATTTCGGCGTGGCAGTTGTGTGTACCTAAAATCAAGACATTTAATTTACATATTTAATATGATACATTTTTGGTATTTTGTTTTGATTAATGGCTTACAATACATTGTCAGCAGTTAACAAATGTGCCTATCGCGAACTCGATTCTACGTCGATATTGACGTGTACACGCCGTACGCGTTCCTTCCCTATCGACCTTTTTGAAACATTTTTAAAAATGTTTGGAACACGTTTGCTTCATCGTCGTTCATATTAGTGTCGTAATTCTAGAGATGAAAGCCATTTGCTTAAATTTGTTGAATTTAAAAACCTAATTCACTTTGTTCTGTCTCCGTAAATGTTTGAAAACCTTGCAGACATACATTAAGCGTACATGAAAAATGGTATTTGAGGAAATTTGATAATTTCCTTCAAGTCGCCAAGGTAAGCCCCGTTCACCTTAATTCATGTCCATTCACGTCACAGATGAATTATTGCAGTGACAACGAATTCTGGCAGCTATTTTAAAACTTGGTAATGAAGGGAAATGTGAAACATGTAGGGTAGTATATTGAATTTCAAAATTTAAAGCTCTAACGGCTACCGTACGCCTTTAGGTCTACATGTCTATCCTCATTAATGTGTCAGGTAAAAAACTTTATGTAGCAGATTAAATATATATTAATTTACTAGTCTACACATTACAATTTTATTTTCTTAATGATAATTCTAAAGGAGGAGAAAAAATAAGACAAAAATAGATACTTGGTTCCACCTTGGAGCAGTCCCCTGTCAGCCCCTCTGGGCACCTGCAGGAAGAGCAGTTCTTTGGATCCGGATATCCTTCATTATAACACGTCGTTGAATATGATTCGCAAATCACTGGAATAAGATCGAAGTGAAATGCAATTAAAGAAGAAATGGATGTTTATAACAACATAGAAGAACTGTAAAAAAGGTAATCAATCATAAGATCTTAATTAAAACGAGCAGGGGGAAAGGATCAGCGAAGAAGATCTGGGATGAAATCCGTGGCAGATCCATGATACCATGGATGCGAAAGGGGGTTTGATCTGCCCCTACTTCCAAACCGATACAGCAAGTTAAACACGCAATATTACAATATAATAATACTTACAGCCGCAATACTGTATGTTAGCAGCCTTGATGTCAGCAAAGGACAGAGCGGATTGCCACGACATGGCATACTGATACCGAGGCTCTTTGGCGATTATGGTAAACGCTGTGTCCGCCAAACCACTCACTGGGAACGCCTGAAGGAAGATTTGACCAGGCAATTAAGAACACATATTATCAAATAAGAGAACAAATTGTAATTTTTTTTAACGTATAATAAGTTAAAACTTTAAGGCAATATCTAAAGCAGCCCCGTCTTGAACATTTAGAATCTTGAAATTACAGAGAGGGTGTTTCGTATTAAAAAGCGTAGTTTATAAAGTGAAAGAAAAAACATACCCTGCTATTATAGTGCATATTTGATCCCAAATCGTATCTGACATTCATCTTTGTGTCCGCCTGTTCAAAGTTATGGATTTTGCCCGGGTTTATGTTATCAAACTGAACAGTGACGTACTGGTCTCTGTCGGCGCGGGACTGCTCGTGCCAAAAAGCGAGGGCGTGGCCAAGCTCGTGAGTGACAGTACCAACCTTGAATGGAGATTAAAACGAAAATGAATGACGTCATTTTTCCGTAACTACATAGATCATTATACATATTAGTCAGGTAATAAGAATTATGGTCCTAGGAAGAAATACGTTCTACTATTTCAACTCTAAATACCATTTATATTTTATTTTAACTAAAATTTATAATAGGAAACCATTCTCGGTTAGTTCTGCATAATGCTAATGTAGTTTACTCACATCAAAGCAGCCGGTGTCAATGCTGATTTTCTGGGCAGTAAGATGGCTCCCAATATACGACGAACAACTAGGTAGACGAACAACAACAATGAGCAACAAAAAAATTTTCAAATCTACATTACAATTAACTTTTACACAATTTAGCAAACTGGCTCTGCATACTAAGCACAGCTGCAATCGAACCATTTTCCATTCTTAATTGAAAATATCAACAGAACAAAACCAGGATCCACCCCTAGAAGTCGCACTGAAATAAGATTTGTGATTGACTGATGTTTCAATGCACCCATTGCTGCCACGCATGGTATATTCCCATTTTGAAAAAAAAATGACATTGCTTGAGATGCTGTCAGTTACAGAAACGATGTCATTACTTATCTTTACCAATAAATGGATCGTTTTAATCTCGTCAATGACTCACACATATGGGTCATATTTGCTTAACTATTTTCTGTCACTTTTTGTAATTACCGTTAATTTCTTTCTACATGTATATCGGAGGGTATTACGGTATAAAAGAAAAAAAATAACGGGTCAAAATAATCAGAATTATATAACATAAGATGTGTGAATCTAGGATCCAAAATAAAGCATTTATATAAATAATAAATAACTTTTAACACATTTTGAATCCTAAGGTAACACTAATGTTCATTCATTGTTTGCGGTTGCAAATTGTCTGGAATGACCCAGTTTCCCCAAGAAATAAATTTACCCTCCACTACGTTGGAACTTGAGGTACTTTCCAGCCAGCCAATTTTCACTGGTGTACTCAACAAACTCAAGGCACGTGTTTGACTCCCAGTGTGCAATGCCAGCTCGTATAGCGTTCTTCTCTGCTGTGCCTAAAAATTCAAATCAATGACATTTGAAGGTTAAAAGTCTTGCTGCTTTTTTGCGACCCAAATAAACACACATGCGTGTATGAAATGCACATACAACATGTCCACGCATATGTACAGGCCTTGCAACATTTGGCAGCAATCAAATATGTATTAGCCGCTTTGTTTAATAATTATCTACAAATTGTATTTGTACACACATGCCCATACTTATTTTTCAACAGAAATAATATATAATCGATAGACTTATGCACTAGCTGGCTATCTAACCAAGCAAATCAAATTTTTACTGGGAGGCAGTAAGATTTTCCCAGTGCTGTTTTTAGATCGTCGCTTTTATAAATTAAATCATGCCAACCGCATAAACATTCAAAGTAACAAAACTGGTGCATAAATGTTCCGAATGCAGTTTTCTCACGCACAAAATGTACACTGTCAACCGAATAGATTTTACTTACTATAAGCCAAATGTTCAAAGACATACTTTATCGGCAAAGCCCAGTAAGTAGTGTAGGCGACTTTTCGTTTCTTTCGCGCTCTCTCTCTCCCAAGTGCTCTATATAGTAAGTCGTCTGCTTGTTCGGGGGTAACATAAATGTCACTAATTGCATTGTTCTGTACACTGTCAGTGCATTCCTTGGTGGAGCATGGGAGAAAAAACAAAGAAAAAATAGGCAGGTAAGACAAACATGCATAAAAGATGATATGTTAGGCCGCGAAACCTAATACAGATAAACGCACGCGCGTACGTCTTAAATTCATACGCTAGTATTATAAGAATTGTGCAGTAAATATTTGTAATTTCCAATTACATTTCAATTGAGGATTTAAGATAAACTACCTGTACAACTGCCCTTCCTCTCCTCCCCCGCCTTGCATTGGAAGCGATACATAGGCCACGGAGGGATGCAATCACCCGCTGGAAATTCCGTCTACCTATCCCATTATAGTCTTTCTGGTTCTTCCTGCCTGCTTCCATGTTGGGCTGCAACACGCAAGGGGCATAAATATGGGGAAATAAATACAAGATCCTCTTTCATAAACCACAAAATAGCTCTAGTTATGCCCTGTGGGATAAAAACATTTCTGATAAAATTTGACGACAAGGCTGGCGGAGGGGTCTAGGATGAACTTTATTTTCCCAATAGACCAGATATTTCTTAATTAAGTGGAGAGGGTCCGGTGCCTTCTGGTCTTGTACACAATACCATGGAGTATATGGCTTTAATCAAACATATTTAGACCTACAATATAACAATGTATGAAAGAGGGTGTTTGATATTTTCTTCATTGGAATTAACAGAAACTATTATTCCCGTAAAGATCAATTTCCAGTAAAATTTCAGCATCAGCATGGATTTTATAGACAAGAAGTGCTTTTCATGATAAATTTGGAATGATAATTTGATTTTTGTAAAATTAAACACACTTGCATGCACGAGGGATTAGACATTAAAAATCGCCCTTCGCATTGCCTTTCGATTTCATTTGTGACTTACCGGTCCACCACCACCTGCTGCCGACACAGAAATGATACCATCCGCATTTTTCTCATGGCTTTTACTAGAATTTCCCCGTTGCTGCAACAAGAAAGGATATATAATATTAAAATTAATAAAGGAACAACTATTTCGGGTTAGGCTATGGCGGTGCTACATATACGTGTGTTCTGTTAGATCAAGTTTTGAATCGCTCATGTCACATAGGGATAATAAAATCTGTACACAAAGGACGAAAAAAAAAAAAAAAAACACGAAAGCAAGGTATTCCAATCAATGCACTAAGAAGTATATTTGTTGATTATTATTATTATTATTATTATTATTATTATTATTTTGTTATCCACTTACCTCTCCACCGAACTCCCCGGCGTCTTGTGCCACCACTGTTGTCACGGCAACAACCACCCAGGCCACCAGTAGGGTCAGTACGCGTGGTATATCCATACATACTTTGATACAACTATCGAAATTGGATTAATTTAGTAAGTTATGGGCGATATATATATATATATATATATATATATATATATATAGAGAGAGAGAGAGAGAGAGAGAGAGAGAGAGAGAGAGAGAGAGACTGACTTTTGAAGTTCAAAGATAAACTGACACAACAATTCACCCCCAGTACAGGGTTTTCTATTAACAAACTTGATAATAAAAAATAAGACACGAGGGTGAAAATGGCTTATGGATATTTACACTGTTTTCAATACATACGTTAAATAATTATTAAATACTCCAAAATTCGTCTTTGTCCGAGCAAACTTAGTAGAAAGGGCATATTACTGTCAATGACACTGTCAATTTGGCCAAGTGGCAGCCAGTCTACGTAATGCCTTACAGGACCGATGCTAAACGGCCTGTGTACGAGTTGCAGTTATCACCTACTTTTCATTGGTTGTTATTGTCAACTCTTTTTTAAGGCTCGCGCGTGGAATCCTATTTGTACTATAAACTCCAAATATGCCTACCTCACCGGATAAATATAACGTGTCAGGAAGCCTGAAACTATTTCCTTACTGCGACTACAAATGCATGTATCCAGACTTACCCACGTGTTTGTCCGATTCTCCATGTGGAGGGAGGCTATGAGGATGAACAGTTGTTAGCTTCATGACCTTGCACTTTAGTTCAGTGTCAATGATTCTGACCTAAATATCCCGGAATTCCCCAGTGATCAAAAATTGGAACTCCACGATAAAAATTGTTTTCTTTCCTTTCTTAGGTAGCCTAGCTTTACATTAACTATTTAGACAAGTTGTGCACTGTTTTATGTCGCTTTATTTAAACAAGACTCGACATTTCAAGTTTACATAAGGTGTGGCCTTAAAGCCAAAGAACAATAATATTGATGAATTTTTACTTTGAAAAAATATTCCGAAAAATTCAAGAAGTCGTCTCTTCATTTTCAAAATATTGAAATCATTCTCCATTTCAAAACTAAATTTTATATATGCATGCAATATATGGTGCATATATATATTGCAAAGAAATTAGAATAAACCATTATTATTGTAACATTATCTTCTTGTTTTTGGTAAATGTCATCAAAGTTCACAAGCTTCCATTAGTGGCATTCTTTGAATGACCCTTGGTCACCTACAGATTACACTTGATGACAGTTCTCAGCCATTGTTAAAGTAAACAGGTGTTCCTCATACTTTTTAATGTACATGTATATACAAGCCTAGCACTTCATAATAAACTTTCGTAGAAGTCAGACGCATTGTTGTTGTCTCTCTCCTGAATAGAGTCCGGCACGTTGGACTCAGTAAAGAGCCATCGTNAAAATATGTTCACTATTGGATACACATATCTGACAGGCAGGATTAACATGCACATATTGCCAGTGCAGGGATAATCACAATGACTATGACTGTTAACACCCATGACATTTGATTGAAGAAAGGGAGATGTAACATTATCTTCTTGTTTTTGGTAAATGTCATCAAAGTTCACAAGCTTCCATTAGTGGCATTCTTTGAATGACCCTTGGTCACCTACAGATTACACTTGATGACAGTTCTCAGCCATTGTTAAAGTAAACAGGTGTTCCTCATACTTTTTAATGTACATGTATATACAAGCCTAGCACTTCATAATAAACTTTCGTAGAAGTCAGACGCATTGTTGTTGTCTCTCTCCTGAATAGAGTCCGGCACGTTGGACTCAGTAAAGAGCCATCGTATTACAATTATTGTTATTATTATTATTATTATTAATATTCTACTCCGGTTAGTAGTAATATCAATCGTGAAGTTCGTTTCGCAGATGAGATGAAGTGACAAGCAAAGATTTTTTTGTATTCATATTTGAAAAAATGGGGAAAATGGCCGTTTAAATTGTTTGCACGCCGTATTGAATCACAATCGGAGGTTTTGTTTTTTAGGATTCACTGAGACAGGGTGGTACACACACTTAGCTTCATACGTTTATGTCCCTGCACCGTAACTAGTCTAAACGGAGTGAGGAGGTAACGGTGCGGGGAGCAACGGTGCGAAGGTGCATCAATGGGAGGCGAATAGATTCGGGGACCGGGTAACATCATAACGTAGTGAGGGACGCACTGGCGCCCGTTTTAGGATGTCACAGCCCCATGAGATGTCGCGTGCCTCTCGCGACCCTTGTTATATGAGGCTAGATAAGAAATTTATAATTAATAGGGAATATTTTCATAGGATATGTGATGTTAAGATATAGGTATAGTAGGACTGGTGGTGAGTAGAATTCTTCTTGAGGTGGGTAGAATACAGGAAGAATTCAGAATACTGGGAATAAAGATGGTTGGAAATCCACGGCTCTCGTTGCTTGCTACTTCTCCATCGGTGAATAGCAAATCGACCCTAACAACGTAAAGCAATGACCCCAAACATTGAGCACATTGCTATGGCCTTGAAATTAATTAATTCAAAACATCTGTTAATATTTATATCATCACTGTAAATCAAAAGTGTAAATCGTTGTAATAAAAATAATAAACATATATCAACTGGTTTATTCTACTTGTTTATTTTATACAAATGCCACAAAAATACAATGTATTCACTTAAATAAACTGTGTCAGCATGACTTTTGTAAAAAACTCCTCCATATAAAAGGTTAAACGTTTGATTCACATGTCTAGAGTGGTTCAAGTACGCCATCACGTTGTTATTACACATAAGTAATATTTTTTTGTTTAATTACATTGATAGTGATTAACACAAGAGGTCTTGATCATCTTTTTCCTGTTGCTACGACTCTCAAATCAGCCAATGTTCATTTTCGTTTGTTTATACAGACTAATAATAATAATAATAATAATAATAATAATAATAATAATAATATTTATTTATAGTCTATGTTCGATAGACTTTACAAATTTATAAACTTCACAATTAAAAGAAAAAATACTAATGGTCATAAGATGAATGGAAGATAGAATGATAATAGAAAAAATGTTAAAGGTAAAAAATAGATATATAAATGGATAAGAGGTGGAAATTAGAACTTATGAACTAAGAACAATTATTCGTAAAACGTATACTTACAAGAATTTTAAAATAATATTGCTTAAAAAAGGAGGTTTTAAGTTCCTTTTTGAAATATCAAGGGTCTACAATTTTTCTAAGATTGATGGGTAAATTATTCCATTCTCTAGGTGCTGCAATTTAAAAAGCTTTGTCACCGTATGCCACCAATCTTGCCTTACAAGCCTTAAAAAGAAGGCGATCACCTGATCGAAAATTTCTAGCTCATTTAAATAAGAGGGTGCAAGTTTTTAAAATACTGCATGTACAAAAACAGATGAGATGTCACTTAATTTATTAATACCATCTTTTCTAAGTTTCCTGGTATCTACTTCACAATCGAAAGACAAAAGAATTGCGTTCTATTCTTTTGTCAAGTGTAAGTTTAACCCAGCTCACCCTCCTCCCCCCTCCCTTCCCCCCCCCCGAAAAAAAAAAAAAAAAATTTCCATTTGATGTAGTCAGCACGATTCATTCATTTGAGCTGTTGGTATATAACACCGAGCACGTTTCTCACTGTAAAAGTACCGCCGTTCTGTTTTTCCACCACTTTCAAAGTCTGTCCTTCTTCCGTACCCACAGGCATTACAAGGCAGCCCCCAACCTTGAGTTGCTTGGTCAGCTGAAAGACAGGAAATTATTTACAATTTACAAACTCTGGATATATAACGATTACAAACTGGTATTAAAATAATTGCTAGAAATGTTCAAATGTCCATAAAATGAATATGATGATAATCTTGCACATTTTTCACAGAAATTATGGCATAACAATAATATATCATTATAATCACAGTGACAACCTTAATGAAGTTGGGAGGAACTTTATATATAGCTGGCCGCATATGCATTTGTTGAGCATATTAAGTTAAAAGACATCATTTTAATGCAAAATGGTGCTATAAACGTTCTTTTTATTCAGGTCGCAATGAGTTAATTTAGATACATAAAGAGAAAAAGCACCACTCGTAGCCCTACTGTAGCCATAATGGCATGTTATAAAACAAATGCGTACTGCACTGGGTACTTCTGGTGCCGCCCCACCAACATGGATGACGTCATAGGGACCCAAGGCTTCGTGTCCATCTTTACCGTCGGCACAAACCAGAACCAAGTGGTTGGTGTCCATTAATTCCCTGAGACGCGGATCTTTCTTCATGTTGGCTTCGGCAAACTTCACCAAACCCTCAACTATGTCAATCCCAACCGTGTACCCCGTTCTTCCTGCCTAAAACGATTGTAAAATATTGAAATTAGATAACAGCTGCATGATGTCGGGGGAATATGTTACAATGCCAATAGTTGAAACTTTGAGCAAGCACCTTTTTAAATGACGCCATCAGTTAGAGTGGTCAGTTCGCCTACATACTTCTACATACATCATATTCAATAGGAACAATGTCTGACTTTTCATTGATTAAAATTTTCAAACAACCAGTAACGTTCAATAAATGCTTTGACAGTGGCGGATTTAGACAGGGGGTCAGGGCTTTGATTTCTATTCCCCTCTTGAAACTATAATTTTGACTACCTGAATCAAGTTCTAAACCGTATCAAATGGCACCGTTCGCCCTTAAAATACCAAAAAATTTCGGGGCCCTTGAACGGGCTCCGAACCCCACGCCAAGTTGGGGGGGGGG